TTCACTGGACTCCTGTTTTACTCCTTTCCAGTAAGTTGCCTTTCTAGCACCAAGAGGTGATCTTTTGAGGCTAGAAGGCCCGATGGAAGTGACTTCAGTTAGACATTTTCTGCTTCTCTCCACCAGAACTGGCAGGAGGGCTAGCTGGAAGCAGAAATTACCAAGATGCATCTTACCTAAAGGGGGCTGTGTGTGTGTGTGTGTGTGTACACCCGCACACACAAGGTGGCAGAAGAAATTAGGTCTTTGGGGAGGCCAAGAAAAGATCAATCAAAAGTCAGTTCAAAAGAAAAGAGGGTCAAATCCCTTCAGGATGCAAGATAATTGAAGCTCAGAACGTGTAGTACAGAGTAGGAAAGGTTCCACAGAAGAGGAATGTCAGCATGATTCATGAGCAAAGTCAGGGAAACCATAAAAGGCAAGACTGGCTCCCTTTACAATGTGGACGTCGTGCCTAAATGAGCTGAAAAAGAAGATGCATGGACTCTGTCTAAACAGATGAAAGTTCATGATAAAGTGGGCAAAACAATTGATTGCTAAAAACATCAAGACAAAAAAAAATAAGATTTTTAAAATTAAATCAGAAGCAGGAAACTGGGCAGTTGGATTGTTGGATGGGAAAGGAGTAAACGGACTGCAAAGGAAGACAGGGAGACTGCAGAGAAGCTGAACTGTTTCTCTCCATCTCTTTTTGCTGTGGAAGATGTGTGACAATTACACACCCTGGAACTGCTATTTGCAGAGATGTGTCTGAAGAACCAAATCAAATTGAGGTGACACAAAACAAAGTTCTAAGGCAAATTGACAAATTAAAAATGAATACATCACTGGGTCCAGATAGCACCCACCCAAACTTCTTAAAGAACTCAAATGTTAAATGTTTTTCTTCCAACAATACTATTCAACTCGTTATTAAAATCAGCCTCACCAAAAGAAGGTTGGAAAGTTGCAAACAATTTGCTAATTTTTAAAAAGGGTTCTGGGGGAAACCTGGAAATTAGAAGCAAGTTAACCTGATGCCTATTCCTGGAAAGCTGATAGAAATCATTTCTAAAGGTAGACATTATTATGCATATAGAGGAACGAGCCCCACTGAGGAACAATCAGCAGGGCTTCCATGAAGGGAAGTTCTGCCTCACCAGCTTTCTGAAGTTTCTCAAGCATTATAGAGGACGTGAATAACAGCAATCCAGTAAACACATTTGAATTTTCAAAAGGCCTTTGACAAAGACCCTCAAAACCTTCAGAGTTCTGACAGGTCCTCTTGTAGATTAGTACCTGCTTAAACCACAGGAAGCAGAGGGTAGGAATAAATGAACAATTCTCACAATGGATGGAGGAAAGTAAGAAGTGGAGTCCCATAAGGATTAGAATTGGTACCGGTGCTATTTAATTTGTTCATAAATAATCAGGATGGGAGAGTGGTGAAATGGCCAGGTTTATCCAGGATGGTGAAAACCAAACAGACTGTGAGGAACTCCAAGGGACCTCTGTGCCTCTGCTTCTGGGGCATGTGGTTGACTACTGTGGGGAAACAAGATGCAAGACTAGACAGATGCTAAATTCAGGTGGATAGCCATCATGGTCTGAAGCAGCAGAACAAATTTACAGTCCAGGGGCCCCTGTAAGACCAACAAAGTTTTCTTCAAGGTATGAGCTTTCGTGTGCACGCACACTTCTTCAGATACAATGAAATGGAAATTACCAGTCCATACATATAGGTAGAGGGTGAGCAATAAATTAGCTTATAGCATAATGAAGATGTTTATCAGATTCAAGGACCAAATAGGAATAACAAGCTTAGTTTATACAGTTACCATTTGTTTGGGTTTAATTCCAAAGGGAAAACATAATGAAATAAATAAATGTCAAAATTGGAGATTGATGGGCAGAAGTATCCTTAATTGTGGAATGCTGGGAGTAATTAACTGAGGCCATTACACTCCATCTGTCTCCCCTCAAGCATGAAGACAACCTTACAGCATCTTCTTCTTTGAACTGGGACAATTGGCTGTGTAAAGTTATCTCCCTTGTCCCCAGACCAGAGGAATACATTCCAGTCTACCATTCCAAATTACATTACATTCTACTATTCATTAGATTACAATCTACTATTCTAATCTATTATTAAAAAAAAAGAAACAAAGAAGAAGTATGACCTTTCTGGGGGATTGGTGAGAATACAGGAGTAAAGGTTGGTTAGCATATGTAGTGAGATAAGAAACCAATATCCCTATTAAGTCCTGGGGATTCCATTGTTCTAAGTGTTGTAATAACTTGCAACTCAGCAATTTCCCTTTCTAGTCCTTTGCAATAAAACAGCTACTTACATAGATGTTGGTGTGAGCTGGCAGACCTATTTTGCTCTTGAGTGGGAGCAAGACAGGCAATAGAAGAGAGAGTGAGCAATCCAGCACAAACCGTCTACTAAAAAATGTGGCTGCAGCTAAGGTGAGCAAGCGCCCCTTCCATGTATAAGGAGGTGACGGCCTCTGAGACTAGGAGTGGAAGGAAATTATATGCCTGACTCTGATTTCAACAAACTGACCATTGGAGGTGGGGACGACTTTTGGATTTGGGGAAAATGTACACAAAAGGACAGGGGGTGGAGTGCTGTGTAAATAAGGCCATGTGCAGAGCTCTCTCTCTCTCTCTCTCTCTGATTTCTAAACATTTTAGCAGAAAATACCTGCACAGTTGAAGGTTCTTTTCTGTTCCCACTGAGTTTCCATTTTCTGAGTCCAGGAATACTCCCAAGCTCCACACCAGAGCATGTTTTCTGCATTCCACTGCACAAATCCTTACCATGGATTCTTGCAGCCTCCTTGCCTGGACACGTTAATGACATGACTCCCATAGAGAAGACCATGTTTTTGTTTTAAATAAGCAGTGTTTGAGAGATTCCTGTGCAGAGAAAGATGTGGGTGCAAGCAGGAAACGCTCAAAGATTTCTTCCTCCTATCTGCTGCTTTGAGTATGCTTGGG